AGCTCACATGCAAATGGGGCTTGGCATTCTTCGTTTCCATGTCCCATAAAAAAAGACCCCTTTGAAAAATGTCTGATAGTCTCTCATCATGATTGCCCTATCTTCATTAATCTAAAATACAAAAGTTAAAGAAACTTCTGTCTAAATTTTTTTTAAAGTATTTCTTAGTCTCACTCCCTCGTTGGGCCAAAGCAAAATAAATGTCTTGGCTGTAGGTTCGGTTTGGATGACTCTCCCTTTTGTGCTGTTTAAATTGGGCTCAACGGCACTTAGAATTAGATCAACTGGATCTTGGCCCTATTTAGTTAGGCTTCAGTGCAGAGCCTACCAGGAAAGAAACATCCATCCCTGCCAGTTATGGACATATGATCCATATTGAGTTCTTTACTTTCCTTCTGCCAGAGCCTTTTTATTACCAGCAGTTCTTGCAGGAGCAATGCCCATCAATAAAATGATGAAATCTTTTTGAATCTCTTAAGATGATGAGCCGTCCAGTAGCTTGAGACACAAGCTTCATAAACTCATGGCAATCACCACAAACACGAATGTTCTTTATAATTCTTATTGGTATCCTTCCATGAGGTTTTTTGGTTAAACCAAATGCAAGAGCAAGTTTCTCACTGTGATAACAGATGGGCTCAAATTTCTCCTCCTCCCCAACATCATGAAGAACCAGTTTTGTGTCAGGAGTAAACCCAGTTTCCTGCAGTTTCCTAATCAGTGTGTTCAGCTCTTCATATATTTCTTTTGCTTCGGGATGAGTTCGATCTTCTGATGCAAATTTGTGAACCTCGTTATCAATCTCAATCCAACTGTAAGCAGCAAACTTCTTAACATTCCTGTCCTTCATGAGAGACCTCATGTATGCCACATCTTTCCATCTTCCACAAGTAGCATACATGTTGGAAAGCATGATGTAAGGTCCAGCACTGAGTGGCTCCAATTCAAAGAGATGTCTAGCTGCCATCTCCCCGTGTTCGATATCGCCTTTCATTGCGCAAACAGATAGAAGAGTGGACCAAATCAAGCTATTTGGTTCATGGGGCATACTTTTGATAAGATCTACTGCTAAGTTTATGTAACCTGAATGACCAAGGAGACAGACCATACAGGCATAATGATCCATAGTGGGTTCCACACCACTTCGTTCATTAATTGAATCAAAATACTTCTGTCCTCGTTCAATCAAATTAGCATGGACACAAGCTGATAAAACACCTATGAAAGTAACATTATTTGGAACTATGTTTTCTTGTAACATGTTCTCATAGAGGGCCAAGGCCTCTAGATCTTTCCCATTTTGTGCATAACCTGTAATCATCGCGTTCCAAGAAACCACATTCCGAAATGGCATTAGTGTGAAAACCACCCAAGCATCTGCAGTAACTCCACATTTGCAATACATATCAACAAGAGCGCTAGACACGAGCAATTGATCAGCAACTCCCATATGAATTGCTTTTCCATGAACAACCTGGCCATAATGCAAAGATGATAATTTGGCGCACGAACTAACTACGCTCGAGATGGTAAAACTATCAGGTCTGACATTTTCCAACAGCATCTCACCAAACAATATCAGAGCATCCTCTTCTCTGCCATTCTGTGCATAACCAACTATCATTGTTGTCCAACAAATCTTATCCTTCTCCCTAATCTCATCAAATACCTTCCTTGCTTCGACTATATTGCCGCTCTGAAAGTAAGCATGGAGAATATTTGACACCGTAACCTGGTCAGGCTTCAACCCTGACGATTGCATTTCATGAAACAAATCAATGCATTTCTCAGGTTGCCCATTTTTCAAGTAGCCGGAAATTATCAAGTTCCAAGACACCGCATTCTTGCCAACCAACCAGTCAAACAACCAACGAGCCCGATCAATGTCACCACATTTGGCATACATATCAATCAACGCATTCCAAAGAAAAACATTCCCTTCCAAATTACCTACAACTACTCTGCCATGAATTTGCTTCCCAAGCCTTAAACCCAGCAACCTGGTGCACGCTTTTAACACGCTCACAAATGTATGCTCTGACGGCTCAAACCCTTCCTCTTGCATTTTAACAAAAACCTCAAACGCCTTGCCCCAACACCCATTTGCCGTCGCACCAGCAATCACGGTATTATAGGAGACCAAATCTCGAGAAGGCATCTGATCGAAGATTGCCCCCAACTCCTCAACAGACCCAGATTTTGCATAAGCAGAAAGCATGGCGTTCCATGAGTAAATGTCTTTCTTGGGCATTTTGTCAAACAGGTCTCGAGCGTCACCAAGGTTCCCGGATTTTGCATAGAGCTGGAGGATCCTATTATGGAGGAAAGTCTTGGTGGGCTTGAACAAGTGAAGGTCCATGTGAGATTGCAGTCTCTTTGCTTGAGAAACATCGTCGGCTCGTACGCATTCGAGCACGAGCCGCGTGTAGGTCTCAGCGGTGGCGCAGCCGCGAGAGTACAACAAGTCTACGGCGTCGCGAAGCTGATGCCTAGCTTTCATATTTCCCGTTTGAATTTGAATTACAGTTTTCCGTTATATGGGCCTCGGCCTTGCCCACGTCTCAAACTACGCGGCGGCAAATATCCGAAAAGGAAAAAAGTAGAGGGCCCACACACGTGAAAGTGAAGCTCCTTTAGGCTCATGCCTTTGGGCCCATTGTCCAACGCCCAAACAAGAAATGGGCTCGTCTGGTGAACACAAGAAAACCCAGAACTTGATCAAGTCTTGTCATATGATAACCTTGCACCGGCTCTGAATCGTCGTCTAGGGTGCTGAATGGCGTTCAGTTTTCGTTGATCGCATGCAAAAAGCCATGCTGAATGGCGTTCAGTTTTCGTTTTCATTTTGTACCTTTATAACAATCTGCCTCTGTGTTTTTCATCTCATTCTTTGTTAGTGTATATTGGTTACTCGTTTGTTGTATTTGGCACAATATGGAATTCGGTACATTATGGTGTGCTTCTGAGGATCATTTCTATGCCCATTGAGATTTATGACATTAGTCTGCGTTGGATGACTCGATGTTTGATTTCACCACTCTGGTTTTCTTGTGTAGTTGGAGTGTTTCAGATTGCTCTGGAGTCACCATCGTGCATTCTTGCTCTATTGCTGTTTTCTGAGGTGGAAACCTGCTTGAAGCAAAGTATTTCATATCTTTACGGTATCTTCATAAACGTAAAACATGAAGAAAAAAATAATATTTTGAGCCTAAAATTTGACAATGTATATAAATATGGACCATATGAGAAATGGTTTTCTTTTCCAAACAAGCGGAGAAACTTAAAATTCAGTTTCTGAATGAACAAAACGCTGCCAAAATAATAGAAGGGGATGATTTAATTTTTTGTCAACTTTTAGCGGCGGTTTTCCGGACTGTTTATATAAATAAGTATTTTCGGCGGTTAGCGACGAAATAAAACGTCGCTAAAGACAGTTAACCAAATTGAGACCCTAAAGTCGTCACTAAAGGACTTAAAATCGTCATTTAAACAAATAAGCTACTTTTCTGCTGAATTAGTAAGTGTTTCTCCTCCTGTATTTGGATATTGATTTAATTTCCTTCCCTCCAATACTACAGGCAATCTATTAAACCAAGTAGGAAATAATTTATTTATCTTTTGTTCAATATTAATTTATATCTACAATCAGGACGGAGCATTGTTACCCTTGATATCTTGTATAATAATATGATTGATTTTATGTTCATATACTTAAGACTTGACTATTTCTTAATTCCTCAGCTATGCTAAGTTCTAGAGACTTGAGCTTAGTCTTGAAGCCATTGTCTTGTGGAGGAGGAAATTCAGCTGGGCTCCGACGCGTAATCAACGCCGTGAGTGTTCATCCACATGACCACTTATTTATTGGTTGACAAGTGATGGCAATGTCTTAACAAATGCAATCACACAAACAAATACTAACACATTGATATGAAAAAGAAGGCCGTTCTTTTATTGACGTGCAAGTGTTCCAAGTGGAAAAAATGCTCCCATTGCCAATACGATAAAGCCAGGCAAATGCCGGTGCAGGCGGCAGGCCTGCCTCAGAGTCAGAGTCATAGAGATGGCATTCACTTTCAGAGTTGGACTTGTCACTTGTGGGAACAATATTTAAGATAGCATATAAGTTTTATTTTTTTCTAAGTAAATATTTCCTCTATATTTTCTAGCCTTTTTTTACTCCACTTTTGGAGTTTTGGTAGATTTGAAGCAGTGCTTGTGAGATCAGCAGAGCAATTCAATTGACCCGTGACCTCCCAACCAACAAGCAAATTGGTGTCAATCCATGAGGTTGAAGAGTTAAATAGAAAAGGCGTTGGTAGGTTATATTCCATTTTCTTTGCTTCATAAGTGAGATATCATATGGGAATTAGGTGGGTTGGAATTGGATCGAAAGGGACATTAAAAGCATTCACCTTTGATGGCTGAACTAACCTAACTATAGAGCAGCATGCATCATCATCAAAGCAGACCAGACATTCATTTCTGCACTTTTGTTTTTGTTTTTATAATTTTTTTCTTTCTTGGTTGCCTCCATTTTGGTCAGGGATAGGACAATTACCAGACTTATTTTAAGCTTTGCAAGGACAAAAAACCTAATAAACTAAAACAACCTGGAAGTTTGGAAGTGGTAACAGGTTAGGGAAACAACATGGTACCACCCAGTGGCATGTCCCTAATCTTGGATTTCTGTGGGCTCAACTTTAAACATAAACTATCAAGAAAAAAACGGTCGTCCAAAGTGATTGTTATTTCTTTCCCTTTTTTTTTTTTGGGCTAGTTTGGCTGGCTTGGATAAAGAAGCAAATTTGGAGAAATATAAAAAGCAAAATAAAGTTCAAGTAAGAGGCTTGTAGTTGTACAAAATCGATTAAATTAATGAAGGCATTGGAAGCCAAGCAAGGTAGCAAACAGATAAGAAGAAGGCTGAAATGGATGGTGAAAAAGAGACCCATCATCATGTTCATGATTCATTCATCTTATATTGTTTATACACACCAGAAAGAAAGAAAAGGTCTTTTTCATCCATCTCTGATTCTCTGAAAAAAAAAAAAAAAACATGAGAACGCAAGAAAAACAAGTAAATTCCAATTCCTATGCGCGCCCCGACTCTTTGACTCAGTGTGCCTTCTCCTGCTTAAAAGAAGTTAGAAAATCCCATACACGTCTGGCATACGTATATTAAGACCAAATCTAACTCCCTCCCTTTAATTGTTAATGTTTTTGTTTTCAAAGACTCCAACTTTTTTCTCTCCTCCAAAAGAAGTAGAGACCACACCAATCACCCACCCAACCCTCCTTCTTCCCCATTCATAATCCAATTCAAAATCAAACCCATCAAAACTCTCTGTCTAATCACACGCAGACGCATAGCTTTTCTTGTTTGATTTCTTCTATTTGTACCATAAAGCAAAAGAGCACATCACTATCTGCAAAAACTCTCTCTCTCTCTGTGTATGTGTGCGTGAAATTCAGTACCTTTTTCGATGTCACACTACACCATCATGGCTTCCTTCAAAGTCAAGCAAGAATAACAGAAAACAAAGGCCCTTCAGAGCAGGACCATCACTAACCCACAAAGCCTTTTCCTTCCCCCAACACGCGCAAACCCAAAATGGCTCAGATTCTCAGAGACAGAGTATTTGGAAATTCAAAGAGACACAGCCAACGCCATAATCCAATCCAAACCACCATGCCCGTATACCCAGTAGAAGACCTCCCCAACCCATTTGGTGAACTGGGTCCGAACCTCTCCGACAAGGAGCTTCGAGAAACCGTCTACGAGATCTTAGTCGGAGCCTGCCGGAGCTCTGGAGCAAAACCCCTTACTTACATCCCGCAGTCCGAAAAGACCGACAGGTCCGACCGGACTACTCTGTCTTCGTTGCCATCATCCCTTCAGAGGTCGACGTCATCGGCGGCCAGCCGGGTCAAGAAGGCTCTGGGTTTGAAGCAAACGGCGTCGTCTAGGAGGAGACTCGGTGATGGTGATTCAGCGAGTCAGGGGAAGATTAAGCGGTCTGGGACGGTTTGGGAGCTTATGAGGGTTCAGATGAGGGTTTCGGAGCAGACTGATACCAGGGTCAGGAGAGCCCTTTTAAGGGTTGCTGCTGGTCAGGTTTGTGAATTGTGATGTGAAACACTCTGTTTTTTTAATTGTCCTGCTGGTTTGTATTTTATGGATGCTGCTCGTGCTTGGTTTCTCAGAAAATAATAGAATAGGAAGGAAATTGAAGTTCTGAATGATAGAGAAGTCTGCTTTTGAGGGGTAGTAGAAATTAAAGAGGAAATGAATTGTAAATGTTTATTGATTAATATTCTGGTGTGTTAGTGGTGAAGGAATCAAATTTTGGTTTTATTTCTTTGATCACTTCTTAATCATTGTGAATTTTGGCATTTCTAGACGTGTTTATTTCTTAGTTAGTTATGCCTGGATTATATTTACTGTTTCTCAAAGTCTCAAATTTTGTTAGCCTGAATAGAGGACAAGGATATGAGTTGAATGCGTGGTTTTTGGCTGTTTGTATTTTCTAAATCAAGCTTAGTGAATTGTTGGTCTTTGTTTCTTTGTATTAGCTTGGAAAGCGTATAGAGTGCATGGTTTTGCCTCTCGAGCTACTACAGCAGTTCAAGTCTTCAGATTTTCCCAGTCATCAAGAATATGAAGCCTGGCAGAGGAGAAATTTGAAGGTTCTTGAAGCAGGGATTCTTTTATATCCTTCTTTGCCTTTAGATAAGAAAGACACTGCTCCTCAACAGCTCCAGAAGATTATTCGTGGGGCCTTAGAGAAACCCATAGAAACTGGAAAGCACAACGAGTCAATGCAAGTTCTCCGCAGTGTTGTTATGTCTCTTGCTTGCAGATCATTTGATGGTTCTGTTTCTGACACATGCCACTGGGCGGATGGATTTCCATTGAACCTTAGGCTCTACCAAATGCTCCTAGAATCATGTTTTGACCCGAATGAAGAAACATCTGTTATTGAAGAGCTTGATGAGGTTTTAGACCTCATAAAGAAGACCTGGCCAGTCCTCGGAATAAACCAAATTCTGCATAATCTTTGTTTCTCGTGGGTTTTATTTCATCGTTACGTTACAACTGGCCAAGTGGATAATGACCTGCTGTTTGCATCCAGTAACCTGTTAGAGGAAGTTGAACAAGATGCCAATGGCACAAAAGATCCATCGTATTTGAAGATCTTAAGTTCAACATTGAGTTCAATTTTGGGTTGGGCTGAGAAAAGGCTTCTTGCCTACCGTGATATTTTCCACAGTGGCAATATTGAATCAATGCAAAACATTCTCTCTCTGGGGTTATTGTCAGCAAAAATATTGATAGAAGATATTTCTCATGAGTACCGTAGGAAGAGGAAAGGAGTTAATGCGGCTCATGACAGGGTTGATGCTTACATAAGATCATCAATGCGCTCTGCTTTTGCACAGGCAAGTTCCCATATTATTTTTGTGCTTTGATTAATGAAGAGGCCGTAAATAATGTGTTTTGTGCTAGGAAATATTCTGTTTATGTCTGTTGCTTATAGAGGATTTTTTGGAAAATCAGGGTGGTGAACTTTACCTATATAAATTTTAATAATTTTTGTTCCCAGTTCGTACTTATATATTACCAACCTGGCTTTCTGTTTTGGCTATAAAATATACTGATCAAGATTTTGAATGTTGTATTAAGGCAGAAACTGGAAAAGGTAGGTTCCAGCAAGCATTTGTCGAAGAGCCAAAACAATCTTATTCCTGGCCTTTCTGCCCTTGCACAAGATGTTAGCGAACTGGCTTTTAGTGAGAAGGGGATATTTGGTCCAGTATTGAAGAGATGGCACCCTTTTGCAACAGGCGTTGCTGTGGCCACACTGCATTCTTGTTATGGAAATGAGCTGAAACAATTTGTGACGGGTATCAGTGAGTTGACTCCAGATACCATACAAGTGCTGAGAGCTGCTGACAAATTGGAGAAGGATCTTGTGCAGATTGCCGTTGAAGATTCAGTGGATAGTGAGGATGGTGGGAAATCCATCATAAGGGAGATGCCTCCTTATGAGGCTGAAGCCGTAATTGCCAATCTGGTAAAGGCTTGGATAAGGACAAGAGTGGACAGGCTGAAGGAATGGGTTGACAGAAATCTGCAACAAGAGGTACATATTTTCCGTTTCAACAAACAAAGGGTTAACGATCAAGAGATACAAGTGTCTGTGCTTGCATTTTTTCTAATGCTGAGGTCACTAGACTTAAGTGGACAAAGTCATAGTTTTGACCAATGCCATTTAGTTCTTATAAAAGAAAATATGAAAATTCAAATCCACTGTTCTAACGTGAAACTTATTCCTTTACTAGTTTCATGATCTGACCTTGTTAACTTTCTTTCTACAGGTATGGAATCCAAGGGCAAACAAAGAGCGATTTGCTCCTTCTGCCATTGAAGTTTTACGCATTATAGATGAAACATTGGAAGCATTCTTTATGTTGCCAATACCTATACATCCTGTCTTGGTTCCAGAACTGATGACTGGCCTTGACAGATGTCTTCAACACTATATCTCAAAGGCCAAGTCTGGCTGTGGTATGTACATTTCATAGCTAGCACTGGTGCGATGAATTTTTTTAAGTTTTCAATCTCCAAAATGACCACCAATTCTCCTTTGTTATCTGTGCAGGGACCAGAAGTACTTTCATTCCCACTTTACCTGCTTTGACCAGATGTTCAGCTGGATCAAAATTTCATGGTGTATTCAAGAAGAAGGAAAGGTCACATATAAGTCAGAGAAGGAAATCTCAGGTTGGAACTACAAATGGGGACAGCTCCTTTGGAATTCCGCAACTTTGTGTTCGCATTAATACTTTGCAGCTTATTCGAATGGAGTTGGGAGTTTTTGAGAAAAGGATAATGGCCCATCTGGGGAACTCTGAATCCACTCAAGGGGACAATATTGCAAATGGAACAGGCAAAATGTTTGAGCTTTCATCATCTGCTTCTGTAGAAGGGATCCAACAACTTTGTGAAGCAACAGCATACAGGGTCATTTTCCATGACCTAAGTCGTGTTCTTTGGGATGGCTTGTATGTTGTGGATGTTTCGTCTTCTAGAATTGAGCCATTTCTTCAGGAACTTGAGCAATATTTGGAGATTATTTCATCAACAGTGCACGACAGAGTTAGAACGCGTGTAATAACTGATGTGATGAAAGCTTCTTTCGATGGGTTCTTGTTGGTTTTGCTAGCTGGAGGCCCTTCTCGCACATTCACACAAAAAGATTCTGACATAATAGAGGAGGATTTTAAGTTTCTGACCGATTTATTCTGGTCGAATGGGGATGGATTGCCCGCTGATTTGATAGATAAGTTATCAACCACTATTAAAGGCATCCTTCCTCTGTACCGTAGTGATACCGATAGCCTTATTGAACAGTTCAAACGTGTGACTCTGGATGGCTCTCCTGCTAAATCCCGGATGCCAATGCCTCCAACTTCAGGTCAGTGGAGCTCCAATGAACCAAACACACTTCTGCGTGTCTTGTGTTGTCGAAATGACGAGACCGCAGCAAAGTTTCTTAGGAAGACTTATAACTTGCCTAAGAAGCTGTAACAACCTTTGGTTTGTGAAAGATTCATTTACTAAGGTTGGACGGCATCATCCATCACAAAGCTCTGATATCATGTTTTTGACTAAACAGCTGTTCAATTTGGGGGTAGAACATTGACATGTATAGTATATTTATTGGTCCGCATTCTTGTTGTTCAGAGCTTTCACCAGTCTCTGAGTAAGGAACTTCAAGGGAGCAGAGGATTAATAAGGCTTAATAGTGCTCAGGAGTTGAGCAATTATTTATTTATTTATTACTATTCTTTCTTGGATTTATCGAATGTGTTGAGGTGGGTCGGCTTCTCCGTTTATTTAATCGTACTACATTGGCGGCACCGGCACAGCATAACGGACAAACTGCAAGGTGCAAAGAAAACCTTGACGATATCTTTGCATAGTGTAGCCGGTAGTTGTGAGTGAGTGATACGGGTTGCTTTTTGGAGAAATCTTAGCTTATTTTGTTGTATTTTGGATGTGTACAGCGAGGGGTTCTTTTCTTCTTTTCTGCGTGTACTTTAATATTTGATATTTGGAACAAATTTTTATATTCTTATTGCCACAAAGACAGGTAAGGTGTTTTTTCAAGCTTAAATACTTGAGAGAATTTATCCCTGTATGTCGAACCTAATATAAAAGGGACAATTCTGGTTTTGAGTAATTTGATTTTTATTGAAGAACTAGGTTTTTCTTAGGTGACAAGGTATATACGCATATATACAAGTAATCTTCTTCACCAAATTGAATCGTGAAACCTAAATAATCCTTTAAATTATTTGGAGCAAAAGCGAAGTTACAACTCTAGCTGCTCTATGTTGGAGGTTCTCACATAATAATATAACACTCTAGCTGCTCTAGGTTGGAGGTTCTCACATAATAATATAACACCATTCAATCATGGCGCCAGGGTCAGTCGTTCAAATATTGCAGAGCATTCTTTCACCTAAACAGTGTTATAAAGATTATGCTGCAAATGAGTATACAAGACAGAGATCATATCAGAAGCGACTACAAAATCTTTGACTGATCGTCATTTGCATTTCGTAAGAAATGATCAACTAAAACTATGCGTGCTCGCTCAATCCACTCCCCAGAGGCCCTTGCATTCCTTCGTATATTATATCAAATTACAGATAATTGACCACACATCTCTCCCTACTTCCAACACTTAATAAATCACTTTCAGTGCCAAGGATTCTTTCGTGTGCTACTTCTTTTTGTGCTGCTACTCGTTGAGCTTGATTTCTGCCAAGACAAAAACCCCGTTACCGCAACAGTATTTCCTCAGTCTACAGAATATTGAGGAAGAGTGAAAATCATACATACCGATTTTGACTTCTTTGTCTTTCCACGGATCCTGTTCCTTGGTGGTTTTAGTTTGTATATCCGAACCATCCAATGGTGGGTTGTGAATACCTAAATTACAGAAATATATTGTGAAAGGTATAATAATATGTTCCATAGCTTCCACATATCTGAAACTAAAAGTTTGGATCATCTGACCTCTTCAAAATGGGTAAGTTTGAAATATTTATTTCCAATTTCTGTTCGCCTCACCCTATCAAAGCCTTTACCATCGGTGTCCACAAACCTGCAGGTAAAAGAAGACAAGATACACAATTTTATTCACAGCCAGAACTGAAAAAAAAAAAGAATAAAAAAATAGAAGAAAAACTTTGAAAATAAGCAAAAAACTTTACGCAAATGCAGACCTGTAATAAGAGAGTTTGTACATGAGAGAATTGAGCATGGTGGGGGTGGCCTGCGAGTCAATCCGATACTGACCATCCCTCTTTAGACAGGAAAACAAGGTAAAACATGGTTAATGACACAACATTAACACTAATATACAAGAAAACTTTCACATCCAGTAAGTTAGCCCAAAAACAGGAAATGAAAAAAATGAAAGAAATCAGGGAAGGAAATAACTAACCAAGTAATCGGGTTCCTTGATATGAGGGAATACACCCCCTCCGATACGGACCATCCACAGGAACTTATTAATATCATCACTGGGGTAGCCAACAAGACCTGATAAGTGAGATTATTAATCAGAATAAGGCTTTACTTTCTTTCGTAAGAAGTTCTGAGCATGCCAAAGGGAGCCTACCTCCAAAAACAACAAGAACATATTTTACGTCCAACGAGTTAAAAATTTCCCAAGCCGCCTTTTCCGGAGAAGACATGGCAGTACCGACAGTTGCAATATGTGTGTTGTTCCATGTATTATTGTCAACAATGACAGTGCGGTTAGCCATGGCAGTAGTTTGGTACCCATAATCCCACCAAGATGCAACCTGCAAGTAGTTTATAGCATAAAGGAGTATTTGTTAATATCTTCATTTGGCAAAGGACATGGTTTTAGTCTGTCAAAAATTAAATTGAGTTGATATAATATAAGGAAAAACAAAAGGTGAAGAACTCACTTTATCATCCACCTCAGTGTTGTGGCTTAACCATGCATAAGCCTCTCTAAAATCATCAAAAACATGGAGACCATCATTTGAATAAGATGTTAGAACAATAGATGGGGCTGAATAAGCTTCAGCTGCTGCCCAGACACAATGAACCTACAAAACAATGATAACTCAACTTCAGTGGCCATCTTTATCAAGCAAAATGCCATTAGAGGAAATGCAAGGACAAAGTCTCTTCTGAATACGGCCATGATAACTTCTTTTTGATATTGACTGCATGGCTTCCTGTTTTAAATAAGTTTTCACTAAGAGGAGACACATATCTATTTTCCACAGGTCCTCTATTAACTAGATTATCCATCCATTCACATTGTTAAAGTTGATTAGAAGTATATACTTGCCCTTCAAATTGATTAAGGTTCAAAGGATGTATAAGTTCAAGCACCTTAACATACACGTGCATACAGAACTCATGTGTATCAGAATCAGAACCGAGATGCGGAGGAAAACAAAGAAAATAGGAAAGAAGAAAATTTATATACCACATAGAAGGCTCCAAGCAACACAAGTAGAAAAATAGCAAGAACAGATCCCTCAAATGGTAAAACCAGAAGTCTCTTTTCAATTTGAGATTTAATGGAAGGCTTTTCAACTGGTTCCTTTTCCTTCTTCCTGTTCTTTCTTGAGGGTCTCTCCTTTAATGTGTCTCCACTTTTATCTGTCTTTGGCACTTCAGTCTGTGGTACAGTGCTCTCAGAACTGGTATCCCCAGCCTTAACGGTCAAAAAGACAAAATTAATCCCTCAATAATCTATAAAAAGGGTGAACAGATGTAAAACAATGGAAAGAAATACGCTTACATCAACTTCAGAAAATCCTGGTAAACCAGGTAACTGAAACTTGATTGATCGTGTGAAAACATCAAAAGCTTCAGATAGAGCAATCCCAGACATGATGCAGGCTGCTGGAGCAAGTACTAGCATAAGCCGCACCTGTGATATTAGTGAAAAACAATATTAACATGGATTAACATAAAAGCTGGAAGAAAGGCGAATTAAACTTAGCTATGCCAATAATAGTTTTTACCATGACTCCAGAGAAATATACTGAAGTTACAATGTAAAGGATCACAAACGAGCTTGCATCTGATAAGGGTGAAAAGCACGCCTACCAACAGATACAAACAATAAAAACAGTGGTTAGGAACATGGAAAAATAGGAAATAAAAACAAAATACAGTAACTCAGGAAATAAAAAGCAAACCAGGGTTGAAGGAATCTTACAATAATGCCAGCCGGAACCAAGAATGCCAACACATTAATGTCCATGAAGTAAGAGGGCCAAGTAGGAGGTTGATGCTCACTAACACTAGCAATAATTGGTATGTACTTGCTTGCATAAGTTCTGAAATGAAAAAATATATATATAAACATATAGAAGTTCATTTATTTCTCAGCTAGGCAAAACAAATATTTCAAGTAATTCAAGAGAAGTTAAAGAATGCAAACAAGTCAAATGGTTTCCAACATCTCAGAGTTGGGAAGCGGCTGGTGTTGGGGAAGCAGAATGGGGGTGCCATTCTAAACGAGTAATACTATAGACAACCAAAAAAAAAATCCAAATTTTAGATCCTAAGTGATGTGATGATTTATTTATTCATATTTGGTCCCATTTATATTTTCATGTGAAACCCAATAATTTAGTGAATAAGATATTCCCAATACATTTTTCTAAATTACTTTGGTATCCAAAATTCGGGATCTATTTTGGTGCTTGTAGTATTGTGCAATGCGCAGTCTAAAAGAATTAGACTGTCACATTAGGTCCTCTAGATAACATAATTGGACCAAAGCCAGAAATTTGGACAATTTAGGCACCAGGTGCTCCAAATTCAGTTGTACCCATAATGGAAATGTCTGTTTTTGGTCATGTTAGTTCAATCAGAAAACCAAAGGTTGTCAAACAAAGAAGAAACATAAGAACTGAATTATGTACTTACGGATCAAGTAGACTAAGGCTTCGCCCACTCCATCCCTTTGTTGGGCTTGAAGCCACTAAAGCTACAAGTACTGCTATCACAGCAATACATACTATCCTGAAAAATAAGTAACATGGGAAGCATAGAGATCAATTGTGTGTTCAATGTGAGAGACCCTTAATACATTTAGAAAACAGAAGTGAAACATACAGGCCAACGGATAGAACAAGCGTAACAGCCACTTTGAACATTTTTGGAGAGAGAATCCCTTTGATATAGTACACAAAAGCGACCACGTGTATAATAATAAAAACCTGCAACAAAAAAACATGTTGTCAGGCATATAAAAGTAACACGAGACAATTAAGTTGATGAGAAAATAAAGTTGGGAAATGCTCACCAAGAAGGATGCAAAATGTTCTGATGTCATGACAGCATTAAATCCAACTACCGGCACCAAAGCAGCTAACAATGTTCCCAACACAACCTGCATTAGAAAAGTTAAGATTTTAACACGAACCAAGAAATGCCATTGAAGAAGTGCAAGAATGTCAATATGCATTCTTCAATTTGTTTTCAATCACGGATAGCTTCATAAGTAATGCAGATACTTACAAGAGGAGCATATGCAATGTATAGACGAGGAGAGTAGCGACCCGTTACAATGCAGAGAAGCACATGCATTGGAATAAGGTTAATAATAAATGTGTAGCCTCCCCAAGAGCAAACCTGAAAGGATGAAACAAAATGAAAGTGGAAATAAGAATATATAAGGTTACAAGGGCACAAGCAACATTAGTACATATACTTACCATGTAAAAGTATGCTATGGCGTTAAGAGTTGCATAAAAGAGGGATCCTGTATTCAGTGTCTGCATATAACG